TTTTTTTTTCTAAATACATTATAAGTACATCTTTCATTTGACATACTTTTTATTAAAATTGGACAATTTCCCCTTATATAGGGGGCGTTCAAAACTTGAAATATTGTAAAAAACATAGATCTTTTTCAACTGAACTTTTGAAAATGTTCCGGAAATACTGCGTCCTTTAAACATATATCAAATCAAAGGTTATGTTATATACAATCAAATGAAAAAAAAAAATTTGTCCCGACATCTTATCTTCTATGTGCAAATGACTGTCGAAAATTTAAAAAAAAATGTAATGTTTGCGATAAAAATTACCTTTTATCGGGATGTTTTTTGTACTTAAAACTGCCATAACTTTTTCAAAAATGAACAAATAAAAATAATATTTTTTTATACTAAAACCTTAGATATTTCCCTTTCATTTCATATCATTTTTTTGAAAATCTAACACTTAACCTGCTCATGGGGGGGGATTTAAAATTGCAACTTTTTTACAAAAACTAACTTTTTCAACTTAATTTTTGAAAATGTTCCGGAAATACTGCGTCTTTTAAACATATATAAAATTAAAGTTTATTTTATGTACTACAAAATTAAAAAAAAAAATTTGTGCCTACGACCTATCTTCTATACGCAAATGGCTGCCGTATTCAAAAATATGCTATTTTTGTATTAAAATTATGGGTTTTGTATTTTATTTTAATAGAAGTTGATGTCGATTTTGCAATTATCCATCAATTTTTTAAAATTAAACACTATCTACAGATTTGCATCGAAGCGTTTCTTATGATAGTGATTTTAATCACTTTCAGATTAAATCTATACTGGACCTAACTATGTAATGTCTCCAATATGCCGCGACCCCACTGTGCTACCGTTTTATTTTTGTTTTAGGATCAATCATTTTTTGTTATTAAGTAAATAATACATTTTTAAACAAATTATTTTCAGTGCATAGAATATATAAAGTTAGACAACTAAGGTGGTTTTGGAATATAAATTTCAAAATGAAAATAAAAACCAAAAAATTGGTTGGTACATATGCCAGTCAATAATTTAAAACAAATAATAATTTGATATAGTAATCAGTTAAGCAATACAGTAATGCGCGTTATTAAACATACATACCTAATATTTCTACTTACTTTTACGACCTTCATTATATATAAATAGCACAGGTTTTTTTCTTTATACGTTTTAGTTTTTAAACTTTTAATATAAAATTCTACACTTTATGTACTCAAGATATTTAATCGTTAGTTTTTAACTTAAAAAATCGATAAACTGGATTGAAATTTAATAATGAAAACTAAATTAATATGTTTTATTACATTAAGAGTATTTAATATGATTTCATGTTATTTAAAATTACCCGTGGTGGATAGTATTTTAAATGAACCAGTTCTTATAAATTATCAGATTCAAAAGGCATCAGATCTATACTACCCATTTTATAACTCTGTTACTCATGAAGGATTAGACTGTTATAAAATAGGAATTCAACAACGATGTTTAAAATATTTGTTTGTATTATTATATTGTAATAGCTTCAATATTTCAAACGAAAGTACCAATTCTAAAATGTTTTCAAGTATAAAAGAAGCAGTAAGTATAATGAATAAAGATATTAAACAATTATTATATGATACTAAATTTGATTGCTTTAATGATATAAAATACATTTAAAATAAATTCAAAGATTTTTCTAATAATGATAAATGTAAAAGTATTTTTAACGAAATTGGAAAAAAAATTGCTATAAAGTTGAACGAGCTATCAGGTAGAAAATTTTATATTAATGCAGAAAATAAAAGTCCATTCATTCAGGAAAAAATAGATTGGAAATTTCTAGAAAATATTTTTAATTGTATTCCATCAAAAATGTATCCTGATATTGGTAAGGGTACAATAGAGAAAAATGATACAGAAAAAGTTACAGATTTACTTATTCGTAAAATACAAGTAGAGTTTGACGCTTTTTCCTGGTATTACTTACCCGTAAATATGATTTTTTTAGAAGAAATCGTTTTTATAAATGGTAAATTTAAGAAAGCTTATTATCAAACTTTTAGAACTCAAAAGGGTTTAAAATTGACTGAAGGTGCAATGGTTTGTTATAAATTAGCAATTCAACAACTATCATTAAAATTTTTGTTTTTATTATTTTTTTTCAATAGCTTAAATATTTCAAACGAAAGTACCAATTCTAAAACGTTTTCAAGTATAAAAAAAGCAGTACGTAAAATGGAGAGTTACATTAAAAAATTTAAAGCTATGTTTGATTGTTTTAATGATATTAAATATTTATTAAATAAATTCAATGATTTTTCTAATAACAACAAATGTAAAAGTATTTTTAATGAAATTGGGCAAAAAATTGCTAATAAGTTGAATGAGTTATCAGGTGTAATGATTATTGTTATTGATGCAGAAAATGGAATTCCGTTTATTCACGATAATATAAAATGGAAATATTTAAAATATATTATTGATTACATTCCAAATTGTCCTGATTATCAAAATTCTGTAATACAGAAATGCGATATAGAAAATATTACATATAGTTTGCTTTGTATAATACAAGAAGAATTCCACTAGATTTTAGCTTTGATGCGAAGCTTAGAAAGTATTAATTAAATAATGATGTGTATTTTTTTTTATTGTTCTACTGCTTTTTTTAACATACAATTTTGGATTGATTGTTTAAAGTGTTTAATAATAAAAAAATATATTACGTTAATTATTATTTATCCTGCTTTATACAATAAATATATATATTTATTTATTTATGATACTTATAAATTAAATAATAATATTAGTTATATTGTCCGATATTCAGAATAATTGAAAAAATAAATATGTATTTTATGTACATAATAAAATTATCAGTAAAAGTTATTAGAGTTAAAGTTACATTTGTGATGTTTGTTACAATTATTTATTAGAAATAAAAAAAATTATACAAATGTGTTTCATTTTTAATTTATCGTAACCTTTTTTATGAAATTTAAGTTTGCATGAAAGCATAATTTTTAAAGTTTATCATTGCTTAGAAATCGTTTAAATCATTAACATTTTGTAAAAGAAAAGTGCTTAAATAAAGTGTTAATCATAGTCAAATATAGCATGTTTTTAATTAGGGAAGCCATTTACAATTAGAAGATAAATGTTAGGGACAATTTTTTTTTTTTATTTATAGTACATGACATAAGGTTTAATTTAGCATATGTTTAAAGGACGCAGTA